ACATGATACTAAGCTGGTGCGATTTGGCGCCCCGGGGTAGACTGTGAGCACTTTGCTTTCATGTTTGCGTTTGTGATTTCTTTGTATTTGGGTTGGGTTTGCGTTTGTGGTTGGGTTTGCATGTGGATTTGGTTTGTTTTCGTTTGCTTTTTCGTTTGTGTTTTACTTTGTATTTGTGTTTGTGGTTGGGTTTGTGTTTGTGGCTGGGTTTGTGTATGTGACTGAACCCATTCGTGACTGAAGAGTTATATGACAAGTTTTTCGTTGACTCAAATCGAAGGTCTGAAACTAGTAGAGCTTTTAATCAATCTTAAACCTTCCAAAAAGCAAACAAGTCTAAATAATAAAATACAATCCAAAAACTATACAATAATTTGTAAACTTAACTTACAATTTCATGGAAATCACTAACACTTCTTTCTACTATTAACACTGGATAAAATATCTAACTAACACAACCTATACTATGAAAAACCAAATACTGAGTACTAGTGGAATATAAGTAAATTACAGCCCAACACAACACGATGCTATGAGCCATGGGTTCTATCAGGGTGTCTTGTGCGCATCGTGTTTGGAAAACTCCTCCTTTTTATAATACCCTAAAATTATGGGATGCTGACAACAATGCTAAGGACCATTGGGGATGGAGCCAAAACACGAGTAACACGAACAAAGTTTTGAATACTATCACATGAGTCTGATGGAAAATTTCTTAGTTTAAACAACAAATAGCTCAAGGCCATTAATAATATTAATAAAATTAAACTATTAAAGAAGACCTAAGTAAGTCACATTGTGATTCATCCACCATCTCTCTATTCCCTGTTTATTGTAAACGTAAAAAATTATACTGTCTCTGTGTGTGTGTGTGTGAGAGAGTGTCTTTGTCTGTCGGTGGACGAAAACTCTCATGTAACTATTAGGAATATAATTCAATTCTGAATAATCAGAGGAATTTGCCATGATTCGATTAACAACAAAAATATTTTTAATGGGTTGTTTTTAAAAATCTTTTCAAAAATAAATAATTAGACTACATCAGATTCTAAATAATGTTACTTCCCCTTAGTTTCAAACCGTTTAAAAACTTTATTATCTACCCCTAACAGCCTTAACTAGATCTAACGGCTCTATAATATTGTAAACATTCTCGTGAACCACAGCTCAGCAGACAGTTAGTTTCATCGCGTCACCCGTTCTCTTATTGAATTTAGTATTCTATCGAGTGTTTTAATTTTGTTATCTTCTCTTAGATTTGAAACCGTTTAGTTAACTTTTAATGACTAATCAAACGTCTAACTAAATTAAAAAATAAAGGACTTATATTTTCATCGAAGTGGTAGGTATCTGCAAAGTTTGAACAAAATCGCTGCATAAGAAGAGGTCAAACAAATAGTAAAAGTAGAGTTATAATTACCTGGTTTGATTGAACTATTGAACACATTACTGATTGCCCAATAGGAAAGGTTCATTGGAGAAGCAGGCCATATATTTGGCCATTCTCCCTCTACGTTTAGTTGTCCTTGTACAACGACCCTATATACAGCGCGTCGAAAGGGGTAAAAGGAGAAACTGAGAGGATTTTCACCGGTGCAGTTGCAAGCTGTATTGCTGATGTAACATGGCGTGCAGGGGAACAATGCAGCGATAGCACACAACTAAAAAAAAAATTAAAATACAATGATAATTCTGGATAAATACCTGCCCCAATTATAGCGGAAATTAATATCTGGACCTTCTATAACGTGACATATCTGTACAATCTATAGCCTGACATTGATATCTATGCAATGTATATCCTGACATTAATATTTGTACCATCTATAACCTAGCATTAATATCTGTGCAATGTATAGCCTGACATCAATATCTGTACAGTCTATAGCCTGGCATCAATCTCTGTACAGTCTATATCCTGACATCAATATCTGTACAGTCTATATCCTGACATCAATATCTGTACAATCTATATCCTGACATCAATATCTGTACCTTCTATATCCATCCTGACATCAATATCTGTACAATCTATAGCCTGACATCAGTATTTGTATCATCTATAACATCAATATCTGTATTATATAACTTTTTGTACCCTAGATTTGACATCTACACCCTGCATTATATTTAGCATTTTGTGCAGTACGTCACACACCAATACCATGATTATATTCAACCTTTTATGCCTTACATCAGACAATAATATCAAACAATCTACTTACACAAGTATCAACTCTCTTCATTCATTGACACCTCACACCCATACCATTCACTGCCAAGACACAAATAAGCCTACTTGTAAGCCACTATTCACGAACACCGTGCACCCGTTTACATTAACAAATTACATGTTAATAATATAATTGTATTATAATATTTATACTTACAGGAAAAAACTCCTGCTCTTCTTCATTATAAGATTCTACCATTATAAACACGCATATCTCTGGGTCTGGGAAAAAATTTTCCGATGTCACACTTCCAATAATCTTTCCGGTGTAGCGGCAATGCGGAGCTTCACATTCTCTTTCCCAACCATCTATTTTTGGTGCAAATTTTGGCATTTGAACACCTACTAATAAAAAATATATAATATTCCGAATAATTTCAAATGAGATGGATACGTCATACTTTTAAAACGTTTTATAAACTTCTAGCGTACCCGTTTCTCATTGCTGCTATTTAGTCATACACACCAAATTAAGCCAACATTACTAGATGATCTCATCAATGCACAGATTTAGTCATGGACGACAAATTAAACCAAGGTTATTAGATGATCTCATGCCATTGAAATCGGTAGTTTTAGACGTTAGATGTGTTCGGAAAACTATGTAATATTTAACAACCAGGGGCGTTGCAGGGCGCCGTCGGATGCCGCTGATTATAATATTAACCCTAAGCAGTTTAATAAAATAATCCATTTTATCCACTATACAGGACGATCAAATAGCGGACTTCAAGTGCTAAGATAGGCAATGACACGATAGCGACTTGTGGGTAATAGTTCCAATTTGCTTTTATAACTAAATACGTCTACGTCAACAATCTGCTTATACGCCTACGCCTTTGCCTAACCCTAAGCTTACGCCTACGTCTAATATACATTATCTGATTCTTAATGCCTAACACCAAAGGGAATATGCTCATTACCTAAGATCTGAGTTTTAAGTATAAAGTGTAACCCTTGAGGTCTAATATCTAATGTGTAATGCGGTGTGTGGCGTCTAATGTTTAATGTCTAAAATCTTTGCCTGTATATTTTTATGGGTAGATGTACGTAGACTCCTAGATGTACGTCTTTATCTGTTTAACGTATAGCGTGAAACAACCAGCGTATAACTTATAATGTGTAATGTATAGATTTATTAATTATCACTATACAATACAGTATTATCATATAACATTAGTTCTTGTGATCAAATCACCAACATATTAGCACTAACCAGAGAGGCCAACATTGCACAGAAAGAGCATCAACAATACATTGGTAACATCCATTCTCCCACGTCTTGGATGCAAATGCTGAAAACAAGCAAGTTCATTTTTAAAAGAAACAAAGTTTTATTTGTTTAAAGAATTAAATATTCTAAAGTAGTTTTCATTTTTAAAAGATCTTTATCATCAAAAAATATCATCCTAATATATAACAGCACATGTGCGAACTTCTCTCTGCCTCTCTGTCTCTTTCTCTCTCTCTCTCTGTTTCCGCAAATATGAGATCGGTATTTTCAGCGATACATGGAGAGCTTAATGCGGATTTTTATTGATAATAATATGCTGGGTGTTTTAAATGTATAAACTAAATGTTAATTAAAGAAGGATAATAAAATAAAGGCATATTCGGATGCAGAAACACACTTTTAATTATGCAATAAAAAAACGTGATAAAAACGCAAAAAAAAAAACAATGTCGTCACATGCCAGATGTTTAAACTATAGAAAGTACACAAACACGTATGGTGGTGTCATCTTCCAATTTTAGATTATGAAGAAATGAAATATTTAATTTAAATTTGTTTTAGATCTATAGGTCTACTCATCAAGACGTAATTTATAAAATTGAAACAGTTTTCTCGCCCAAAATTAATATAAATTACTTTTTAAAAATCCAACATATATATCATTGAACAGCCGGGTTTTTAATTGAATCATTTGAGTCTCTTAATCGGCGTGTGAATTTAATATGGTGTTGTGTTGACTAGTAATGTATATAATTTGTTTTTTTTTTTCTGAAACGAATGCTATACTTCGTCATTTTCTGTTTATGTTTAAAATAGTATAAAATGGTTTGAAAAATAATTATTTTAAAAAGTTACCTCCCTTGTAAATTGAACGAATGACGTAGTCTTTGTTTACTTTTTTTTCACAAACAGTTGTTATGCTTATGTAAGTAAATACAGAATCTGGACAATTTTAACGACGATAATGGTTTTTCCTCCAGGATCAGTCTACCACCTCACTAAATATCAGGTGGAATGTTCGGCAAGTTTTTATTCATAACTCATGTAAGGAGAATTTCACTCGTCTTCCCTTTTTAGCCCTCGCCGTGCGAGCAGGAGCTGACCAAAAGTTTATCCTTAAGGCAGATTCATTTACTTAGCTCTATGCGGAAAATGAGCCAGATGTACAGAGCCAAAGTTCCATAACATTGTTTTGAAAATAGTCATCGTTTTTCACCATATTAACAATATTTATATTGGGAATTCGGACCGTTCAGTTCTAAAGCCGTTCCGGAATTTCCCCGAAGATAACGCCTATGTTATACTGACCCTCTCGGATATATCTACGACCTCAAATGTTATGATTGAGTTTGTACTTCCAGATATTTGTATTTATGTTTTTCTTTACAAAAACAGTACTATCGTCCGATAGAGCACTACCCGGCAGCGCTTCAAATTTGGCAGGCCGGTGCTGGTTGGCCGCATGGTCCAGGAAGAGAGGGTAAAAAATGACTTCGACTGAGCGGCGCCTCATATGAGCTTTATTGAAAAAAAAACTTTTGCCGAACGACCCCCTTGATATGTTGTGAAGTCGTAGACCGACCCTGGAGGGTAACAAAAAAACATTCCCGTCGGAAAAACCCATTAGGGTAGTTAGATTTGTCCATATGCCGTATTTTCTTATATAAACAATTGTTTATGAAAAAGTAAACAAAGACTACTTCATTTGGTATATGTACAGGGGAGGTAACTTTTTAAAGTACTCATTTTAAAATAATGTGTATAGGCCTACTATTTTAAAGAAATATAACAAAAATCAAATAGTATAGCATTCGTTTAACTAGGCATTTCGTTATAAATTAAGTTATGTATTACAATGGAATTGTAAAATTAATTGCAAAAGTGAATTTAATATAATAATTTATTCATACTTTTAAGGAAGCCTTTGCAATTCTAATAACCTTGCGAGAAATAAGTTTGCCAATTCTCTACCAATGCTTGCAGGGCATAAAATTACTCACTGTTTAAGCTTAGGCCCTAAGCACTCCACATAACAGCCATTTTATGTGTCTCATTGTTAATAACATAACTTTGCCGGTTGCTTATAATTTGTATCATTTTAATTCTCTGAAATCCCACATTTATTTCAATTCTACTTAAAAACTCACCCCCCCCCCTTTCTCTGGACCCACCACGCCGATGGAAAAAAAAAACCATTGAATCATCATTTAATTACAGATTTGCATTTTCAGCTGGGGTTTTTTTTTTTTTTTTAAATAATTAGACGTTTTATATTAGATCTTTGTATATGCAAACCATCTTAAATGAATGAAAGTAGGCTACAAGTAAGAGATAAATATTACTATTGTAAATCTGTATCGGTCCTCACAAGCCGATGATGAAAACTATAATACTAAAGCGAACATGCAAGGCGAACTGACGCTGTAAATTACATGTCTGAGACGGAAAAGAGAAAAAAATATTGTTTTTTTTTTTTTTGAAAAATAAACAACAACAAAATAAATAAAATGGAAAATAAAAGTATTTAAGAAATAATATAACTATTCAATACCGTATCAAGTACACGAAAATGTTGTAGCTGTAAAACCCCTGCATGATTCTTTAAACTAATGTATTTAAACACACACACACGTTGTAATTTGTTTTATTGAAACTAAAACTTAAAATTTAAAAAAAAAATAAAAAGGGATTTAAAACAAAAAACAACACCAGCCAATCACCAATTAATTATTCATTCAAATTCTCAAAAGGTTTTTGAATAGTGTATATATATATATATATATATATATATATATATATATATATATATATATATATATATATATATATATATATATATATATATATATATTACGGGGGGGGGTGACATTATTAAGTGCCGCACCGGATGACACCCGACCTCCCTACGCCAAATTCTCAAAAGGTTTTTGAAAACGTAAGCTAAGCTAGGCAGTATGCCTAGCATATATATATATATATATATATATATATATATATATATATATATATATATATATATATATATATATATATATATATATATATATGACAAATGATCTCAGACAAGTGATCACAGACAAAATATCTCAGACAAAATATCTCACGGTCAAATGATCTCAGGACAAATGATCTCAAGACAAATGATCTCAGGACAAATGATCTTAAGGAAAAATGATATCACGGACAAAAGATACCAGGACAAAATATATCAGGACAAATGATATCATGGACAAATGATCTCAGGCAAAATATCTCACAAAATTTATTTTAAAAGTATGTACGATGATTGTCTGCCATCCGGTGTTAGAGCCTTGTCGGGGCTTGGCAACTTGTGTATCCTTACAACCCCCAGAGCTATACCAGCGGGAGTGTAAACTCCTAGTAGGTTCAACCAAGCTGGGAAGATCTGCGCGGGTAGGGATCAGACCAAAGCTAACACCCTGGTCCTCCAAGTTGGGGGTTGAAACATAAGGCTAGCAACCTTATCTCGTAAAAAAATATACCGCTACAGAAACTCCAAGAACACAAATCCAACACCAACTTGATCGAGGAGGTTCCTCTCTAGAAGAGCCCATGATGCCTACTAGTGAAAGCCTAACGGAAGCTAGTTCGCTGACAAATCTCCTAACGCCCAAGACTAAAACCAGATTAGGCACCTGGAACATCAGAACCCTATATGAAAGCAGCAGCTAAGCCCAGGTCGCCAAAGAAATGAGGTGGTATAAATTAAAAGTCCTGGGATTAAGTGAGACACGATGGAATGGCAGTGGCCAAACTAGGTTGGTCTCGGGAGAGACTGTCATCTACTCAGTCCACGAGGACGACAATCATGAACACGCGCAAGGTGTAGCCATAATGATTTTTCCAGAAGCAACAAATGCCTTGATCGCATGGGAACCAGTCTCGTTTCAATGCCAAGGGAAGGAAAACAACTTTAATACAGTGCTATGCACCCACAAATGCTGCAACGGATGAAGAAAAAGAGGACTTTTACAGCGCCCTGCAAGCCCAAATAGACAAATCACCAAAAAGAGATATAAAGATAGTATTGGGAGACATGAATGCCAAAGTTGGAACAGAAAATAAAGATCGTGAGTTCACAATGGGAAAAATGGAATAGGCATAATAAATGCAAACGGGGAACTCTTTGCTTATTTCTGCGCATTTAATGATCTAATTATAGGGGGGACAATTTTCTCTCATAAAAATATACATAAGACCACCTGGACGTCACCCGATGGCAAAAAAAAAACAACAACCAAATTGATCACATCATAGTTTCCAGAAAGTGGAGAAGAAGTTTAATGGATGTTAGGGCGAAACGAGGTGCAGATGCAGCCTCAGACCACCAACTCGTGGTTGCAACACTAAATTCAAAACTAAAATCCTACAGGGATCGAGCTGATAAACCGCACTTTAAATTCAATACAGCATATCTTAGGAGTCCAAAAAGAAAGGAAGACTTTAACTGCGCGGTAAAAAATAGGCATGAAGCACTCTCCAGCCTGGCAGAAGAAACAGTAGAGCAAAAATGGCTAGGAATACAGGAACCATGGAAGTCAACATGCACTAACATATCGGGAAGAAGAAAAAATGAACAAAAAGAATGGATCAAAACAGAGACATGGGTTATGAACAAATGTAAGGATGAAAAACAGAAAATAAACCTCAGAACACATTATTGTGAAGTAAATCGCATAGTCAGGAAAAGTGCAAAAGAAGACAAAAGACAGTTCATACAAGAGATGATAGCGGAGGCAGAAACTGCAGCAAAACAAGGAAAAATGAAGAGGCTCTATGAAGTAACCAGGACTCTATCCGGCAAGAATATTAACCCCAACAAACCAGTAAAGGATAAAGTAGGAAATATCTTAACAAGTGACACAGAACAGAGAGACAGATGGGTACAGCACTTTGATGAGATTTTAAACCATCCTCTCTCATCAAACATCCCTGCAAACCACCTACTAAATGTGTGTACAGATCCACCCACAAAGTTAGAAACAATAAGAGCAATAAAGAACATGAAAAATGGCAAAGCAGCTGGCCCGGACGGCATCCCACCAGAGATGTCTTGGACAAAAAGCTGAGGCAATAACAAGCTAGTTTTCGTCAAGACAGGTCATGTACGGACCACATTGCTACGCTGCGCATCATTATTGAACAGTCTCTTGAGTTGCAATCTCCCTTATACATGACTTTTGTCGACTTCGAAAAGGCGTTTGACAGTGTGAGTAGAGATGTTATCTGGAAGTTAATGAGCCACTATGGAATGCCCAAAAAAATTATATCTATCACACAGAAACTATATGAAGACTCCACCAGTCAGGTAATACACAAGGGAAAACTAACAAAACCATTCACGGTGACGACGGGAGTAAGACAGGGATGTATGCTATCGCCAATGATATTCTTCATGGTTATCGACTGGATCATGCTGAAAATCATAAAAAAAAACGACACAGGAATCCAGTGGAGTTTCACCAAAAGGCTGGAAGATCTGGATTTTGCCGATGACATCTGCCTACTATCTCATAAGCATCAACACACGCAAGCCAAACTAAATCGGCTATCTGAAGAAGCCTCCAAAGTTGAACTAAAAATCAATAAAAATAAATCAGAGGTCATCAGAATCAATAACAGCCAGGACCTGCCAATACAGCTAAATGGAGAAGATTAACGAGAAACACATTCACATATCTGGGAAGCGTGATCAATAAGGACGGGGGAGCAGACGAGGACATTACATGTATCAACAAGGCTAGATGGGCCACGGCCCTGTCACTCCGAAGCAAAATTGGGCTTTTCAACTCAAATGTCAAGGCAGTGCTGCTCTATGGCTCGGACACGTGGAGGGTTACGAAGACAAATACTGATAAGCTACAGGCATTCGTAGACAAATGCTTACGGCATATACTCAAAATAAGATGGCCAGACAAAATATCAAACAAAGACCTGTGGCGAACTTTAAAGCAACAGCCAATAGGAGCAGATATCAAGGCCCGTAAATGGGGATGGATCGGACACATATTAAGAAAAGAAAAAGAAAACATCGCAAAACACGCTTTGGACTGGAATCCCCAGGGAAAAAGGAGGGTGGGCTGACCAAGGAAGACATGGAGAAGAACGGTTGAAGAAGAGGCAAAAACAGCTGGGCTCACATGGGCACAGATAAAGTGAGCAGCCCAAAACCGAGTCCGATGGAGATGTGTGGTTGTAGCCCTTTGCTCCCCAGGGGCCACAAAGGAATGATGATGATGATGTACGATAATTTTAGTTGATTTGAACTTTTGTTTATTGACTGTCAATATAGTTTTGATTACTTTTTAACGCATAATAATTGTGAATAAAATGAATGTTTAAACTTAACAAACCATCAAAAGATTTATCAAACTTAATCTTTGTAATAGTATTTGATTTGAAAAAGTAAAAATTAAAACTAAAAATTAAAATTATTACTCGTTTAGCCTGAAAGGTAAACTAAATGAAAATTCATAAAACAATTAAAGTAACATTAATTTTCAAAACACGCTAAATATATTTTGAAAAACGTGAATGGGTCTTTAGGTTCGTATTGTAATACTATTGTTTTTATTGCAGTATCTACACAAACATAACGCTTATGTTTAGTTGCTGGCAGGTACATCGTTACGATCACACCTCTCCAATACTATGTGAGCATGTATTGTGTAACTCTTGCTTGACATGTTCTAATTTCACATTTCCAAACCTCTTTGCCTGCTGCTCCACTTTTGGCTTTAATAAACACAATAAATTCACCAGAAACGAATGTCCTAAAACCTTTCTGCTAGGTAACTAATGAGTTAGTTATCAATGCTGCTTTGTTTGCATGCACACTACGACAACTTAGCTCCGCGATGACCGCTGTCGTTTAAATAAGCATTTGTCACCTGATCACTTAGGTGTGACCGACTCAGAACAATGGACTTTAGATGCTTTTTGTATTATCCATGAACGGAGGTTGTCTTTCCCTTAAGGCATGTCTCTGCTATCAAAGCGGGCGGCCAACTTGATTCGAAGGTGTGTCTTTATTTTTATTTCATCCCTTTTGAACCAGTTTCGTCCACCTGACGTGGCAGGATTGTCTCATGTTGTGCAAGCCAACCAACGCTTTCTATCGAAAAAAATTCTTTAATCTTCGCATTCAAATATTCGCAATCTTAAAAAAAAATTTTATATGTTTAGTGCAATATGTTAAATTTATACGGCAAACATTTCTCACAATTATTATACAGGCCTATACAAATATTAAACATAGTAAACAAAACCATATGACAGTCAATAAAAAAATATCCAGATCAAGTAAAATCATCCCATTCAATATTAAAATTTTGCTGTGAGATATTTTGTCTGAGATATTTTGTCTGACATCATTTGTCCTGAGATCATTTGTCCTATATATATATATATATATATATATATATATATATATATATATATATATATATATATATATATATATATATATACACGAGAAAAATAGCCCGTTGAAGAAGGATACAACGGGCGCTAACTAAAAATGACATTACAAACGGATTTTATCAAGATTTGAGATTTTAATCGGATTTAAGCTTGATCTACACGTAGTTATCGCCCCCCCCCCCCTCCACACACACACATCCCAAAACATGTCTACCATCTCATTCAACGAAATATAACTATATACCTTTTCCAGTGTCCGCCCCCTCCCAGAAAATTCCACCCCTTCCCCCGAACATTTCAAGTACCCCCACCCCACTGCGGGGAGGAAAAAATCTGAAAGAAACACTGGTGTCTCGCTTAGACATTACCAGAAGAATTACATGAAAGAAATTCTACACGCAAAACACTTATAAGATTCGTTCTTACGCGTAGGTGGAGCTATCGAAAGTAGGCTCACGTTAATTGTGATTATCAAGTCCAGAATTCTTTTTTTTTTCTTCTTTGTTCTTAATTTTTACTGTTGGAAGGGATTCCCTTCAACACAATGGACGCGACCGAGAATGTATTCGTGAGACCCATTAATTAATTTAAAAATCATGCACGGCGTAGTTACAATTAATATGGTTAAGAATCCTGTCTGTCGGGTTTATTTCCGACTTTACTAAAGATTGGATGTATTTGATGTTATTAATATTTTCGGTAACTAAATTAAATAAAAAAAAAAAACAATTTGGGTTTCACGTGTAATGGCGACATAAACAATGGCATCCTGCTATTCGATAGGCTGTCATAAATTTTATTGTACACACTGTAAGCGAAAAAAAAAGGAAAACTAGTGTATAAATTTGCATTGCTATTTAAAAACTTGATCTGCAAAGTTTTGTAAACAAATAGCTATCGATCATAGAGTTCCTGTACAGCCAACCAATATTTGTCTTACGAAAGTGAAACATCCTGCTATAACTTAGGCTTGATGAAAATAAATAGAAATGTAGCCTTAAACTCAACAAATTATTTTCAAGTTGTCTTGATTCACAACTTTTATAGCATTGATTCTAAAATAATAAAATTTCTGAATTAATTTTAAGCTGAAGTTTTTATTTTTTAAATTATTTTTACGGTCGTTTTGTTTGCTAAATCTAAAAAAGCACGTTTTTATTCCATGTCAACAACATGATGGAAGGATTCTCGTCAACTCGCTCGCCTCCATTAAGTATACGTGTCAACTGATTGAGGCCATTGACTCCGATTTCAGCCTGCTTTTCTTATTGGATTTGCTTTCATAGCTTTTGTCTAGCCAAAAACAAACTACAAGACAGCAGTTGTATGATTTTTTATTTGTCTCTCCTAGAACATTTGGAATATTAGCCCATCCCCTCTACCACTGTTCACATGCGTATGCTTTGAATGTATGAAGATATGCATACCTGATGTTTTTCGAGTTAGTTGTAAATGTTTCGTTTTAACTTAACCTTGCATCGCCATTGAATTATTTAAATGCATAACACTTTTTTTGTCAAACGTATTTCTAAAGAACATAAAAGTTTCGGTTTGGGATTTCCCGTTTTCAAATCGAATGTGCAAAATGTGTGTGCAATGCAACGCAGGTAATGTCATGCCAGTCTGACTTATTAGGCGCTACTAGCCATCGGTACCGGTTACATGGGCAATTCTGGTGACTTTTAGCTCTCTTTTCTTTACCCGGTTTTTCTTTTAGATATTTATCTCCGGGGAGCGGCATTCAAAACTGTCCGGGGGAGTGTGTGTGTGTGTGGGGGGGGGGGGGGGGTCAGCGGATACTGGTTTTTCTATATTTTTTTTTATGAATCCGTTTTTCAATCTCGTTTGGAGATGAAAGGGGAAGAAACGGTAGAAATGCCTGAAGAAAATGTATGTATCTACGGAAAGTTAGTAATGAAATGAATTGTAATTCAGCTTTAAAAAAAATCATTATCAGAAACTTAGGAAAAGAAACATGTTATTGTTCAAGAACATTGAAATAAAACATTGTTAAGGTTATGAGAATGAAGCGGTTTTGTATTATGCACTGCCAATGTTTATACTTGTTTAAAATAACAAAGACTACCAATACATACTAGAAAAATTAAAACCAAATTGTTTACAGTATTAGTAAACACAATACCATATTAAATGCACTCGCTGATTAAGAGATTTAAAATAAAGAGACTTAAACTATTTCGTTAAAAACCTGGCTGTTCAATGGTAGTTATGTTGTTTTTGCTTTTTAAAACGACTATTTCGTCTGAGCATAGGTCTAACCACGCTATCCCTTCATATGCTGAGAAGACAGAAATATGTGAACTCTACTTCGCCTCCCCGTGTCCTGATAGACAACTTTGTCATTAACATAAAAAAATAAAATACTTAAAAAAACTTTTTAAAAAAACACGTTTTTCTTGTGGACTAAAAAGTAGAAAATAAATTTTTCTTCCGACCCTAGGGGATCTACCAATGACTGCTCGTAGATTTTGTGCTTCCTCGAGCTGTGCAGGTTCTTGTGATGAGTGTTCATACATTTGATGACAAAAAACGTGGCTACGTTTTCGCTTTAATCATAAAGTCTAAATCAAATTTGAATGAAATAATTAATTTTTATATTTATAAATCGGAAGCTAACGCTATTAGTGTTGTGTTCTTTCCGTAGTGTAAACATGTGGCATGTGACGGGATTGTTAATTAAGTTCTTGTCATAACTATGAACACTTTCTTTTCAGGTTCATAATTAAAACTGTTTTTGAATATGCCTTTATTTTTATTTTTGTTCTTTAAATAACATTTTGTTTATACTTTTTAAAAATCTAACTCATTATTTTCAACAAAAGTTCGTATCAAGTTCTCCATATATCGCTGAAGATACTGATATCATACTGATATCACATCATAGACTGTGAAAATATTTTGCGGGCAGAGAGAGAGAAAGAGAGAGAGAGAGAGAGAGAGAGAAGTGCGTACATGGGCTTTTTTATATTAGTATTTTGTATAAATTCTAATCGAACAGATGTTGATTTTCAAAAATAAGTAATGCGACGGCCTTTCTCTCTCTCTCTCTCTCTCTCTCTCTCTCTCTCTCTCTCTCTCTCTCTCTCTCTCTCTCTCTCTTCTAATATTAAAAATGTGTTTATTGAGACGAGACAGTGACGCAAGAAAAAAATATTTTCTCAACAAATATTAACTATGCAAGTTGGCTAAGTAATTTCGCATAATCGCGATTCATATTTTTTACAATCTGCTTTATTGTTACACGATTTTATTCAACTTGCTTCTTCTATCTCTCTTTTGTCCACTTTAGACATTTGGACCACTTCTGACCGGAGTTTCTTCCAGGCTTCACCCCCCACCCCCCGAAAATTTTTACCCCGCCCCCCCCCCCTCCGAACGAAATGAAACGTATATAATTTATATAGAAAATATATACTTTTAACAGTGTCCGCCCCCCCCCCCCCCGTAGAAAGTCTACCGCCCCCCCCCCACCCCTCCCACCCGAAAATTTCAAGTGACCCCCTGGAGAAAAAAGTCTGGAAGAAACACTGCTTCTGACAGACGAATTTCTCTGAAACCTGGCCCGGGGGTCAAGACCAGATAACAAATCAATCCAACATCAAATGTGACTTAATTGGATACTTAATTATTATTTTTAGAATTAATCAAAATACATTTATAAAGAGTGTTATGTATTATGCGCACATTTTTTTAACAACAAGCGCAAATTGTGTATAATTTTGGTGGTAGTACTATTTGATAAAACAATTATTTTTTCTAATAAATCTAAAACTGAGTCTGTTTAATACTAATAGTTTTTCTAACAACTAGAATTACATTTTTTTTTTGAAAAGCTATACTGTAAAAGACAAAATTATTGTTAGACTACCAAAGTTCTATTAAGTACATTTTTAATACAGGAAAACTTTAATGACCAGTTGACAGAGATGTTTTTATTAAAGAGATATATGCTCCATGTTTTGTGGATCATCAGTATATCATTTGTTGTGCTTCTATGTGCCAGTAAGTAGACCACAATTTTAAATTATGTAATTATAAACTTTTGTATGTATTGTATTTATCTTAGCAAGTGAAGAAATTAGAATTTATTGGTAAAAATACATTTTCTTTTCTGTTTTGTTACCTTAATATTTTTTATTTTCTAAAATAATATAAGAACAGCTACGAGTTTACTTCCAACTGTACATTGATTCACTAACATCTTATTGGAACATATTTATATCATTATCAGCTTTTATAAGCAAGATAAAACTAACGCTACAAATAATTTTGTAAGAGCATTTTATTTTTAAATATTTATATAGAAATAATATTCAATTATTTTTATTTGACAAAACATTTTTTTTGTACTTTCTTAGGTGAGTATGGGTCAACAAAAGGAAACATTCAGGTTTGTTATTAATTTAATTGTCTTAAAGCTTTACGTAAAGAAAGACATGGATATTGAATTACACATTAAACACCAAATGGGGTACATAAATTCAAAGAGTATATAACACTATACACAATGAATATTCCGTTCGAAAAAGTTATTTATCTGTGTTTGACCACAGCAAAAATAAACTTTACTTTACACTCGGTGCATTTTTTCAAGTTTTGCTTGTATACATGTTATACTCCTTTTTGCGATAATGCTGATTTTAGAAATTGCTTTAAAAGACGTTGATCTAGATTCTAGATATAAAATATTTTTTTCTTTTGTCGCCAAAAAAAAAAACTATTTTTTTTATATGACAAATGCATTGAGAATTAGATTTTTCTTTCTATTCACTTACCTTTATGTTTTGAAGTTAATGTTTCGCTATCTGTCTAATGACATTGCAGAATGGTTTTTCATCCATTGTTAAAAACCAAGAAAAAAGCAAGAACATTATGCCTCTACGATTTTCAAGAGCACAGTATCTGGTTTCTGTTCATCGGAACCCGATGTTGTTGCTTGTCGTGAGGACAAATACTGACGACCGTTGCCACCACTCTCCATGCATTGAAATAAATAATCTTGACGAGATCAAAATTTCAAATGTTTCATACACAAACAGTAAGTATAGCAAAATATATTGTGTGTTTTTTCAAAATACTTAGAGGTTTTGAGGCAAAGCGATGGTTAAGGTGTTGAAATGCTTTTGTCTAAAAACATGTCACTAAAACTTATACAAATTCACAATACTTTCTATAATTCTTTAATGAGATTAATTATAATATTATTGATTATTTATTTATTTATATATATATATATATATATATATATATATATATATATATATATATATATATATATATATATATATATATATATATACAAACCTGTGTATAATAATTACTCAATGAAAATGTTTCAAGATATTAGAACAGATCAAAGTTGATAATCAATTTAACAAGTGCTATTGCAGAAACGTACTAATATCAAAGAAAATTACCCTAAAACTTTTCAGTTTGTAATTAGTATTTCATCAAAATGCCTATTTTAAAAACAATATTTTGTCAATGCATATGGGCTTAAAAGTAATTAGTAAGCACTGTTCTGGTAAATTTAGTTCATGTATGTACAACTATGCATTTTTTAAAGTTAGCACGAATCCACAAATCAATGTGAATTATCAAACGCGTATGGTAGACGACAACATGTTGAGATATTTCACAATCAGCCGAGAGACTACCAAACCTACTTGGCAAAAAATTAAACTACATGTAAGTATATGCTTTATATGCTATAATTCAGATATAAATCTATTTGTGTATAGCTGTCATGCTGGGGGTGGGCGGGTGGGGAATAAATGATAGACACTTGAAACTGAAACTAATCTTGAGCCTTATGGATAGTTTTAACGACTGAAAAAAAATGTTGATGAATGAAATTCTTTTTTTTTCTAAATAGTTTAACCGAAGCTATTTAGCTTGTATCCGTAAGAAACAAAAAAAAAATTATTAAAAAATTATAAAGCTACGAAAAAATTATATCCTGAAAGCAATATTTAGGGGTCATTAAGATGTATGTCATGGTTTGTTTTTGACAATATTTACACATCGTAAAAAAAACCTGATCCCCACCATACTAAATTGATGCCACATATAAACCTAAAACCCTCCCGCCCCTCAAACTGCAAATTACTTGGTTTAAACATCAATTTCTTTCTAAAATAATGACAGAGATCGGCTGAATAGAGTGTGTTAATCAATTACTAATACAAGTTACAAAACAGCCTTTAAATTATCCTTTAAGAATAACATCACATTTTAAAAAAATTAAACAATGTAACAGTACGATTTATGACCCCCCCCCTCACCTTTTCACACATCGTCACAAAATTCTGAATCCAACTTCGAATGTGACGTCATTTATGAACGACACCAACAAAAAAAAAAACAACAAAAAAAAAACAGGAGTGGTCATGAACAATCTCGTATTTTATTATACTTTGCAATCTACACTGAATATCTTCTCTCTCTGTACGTGAACACGATAACTCTAATTATGTTTCATTTACGTAGACAAAATTTCATGAATTAGTATTAGGTTTCTGTAAACTATTCAGAGATTTCAGATAATCGGAAATAGAAAGCCGACATTACTTTTTGTCTGGCTTATTAAAAAAAACATCTAGAACAGACAGTAAAGTGGACGAAATTTAACTTTAAAAGGTACTTTACTCCATTTTCGGTTTTAAAAGACAACAACTTTAGAATTTTATTATTATTTAAAAAAACATTGCGCCACTAGATCTATGTATTTTCACGAAAAACTATCCGTTATGTCACAACCTTATCAATTATTTCTATAGCCCGATTACTTTGAAGTGTTATCCCAACACATATGGTTAAATACTAATATACTGCCGCTTCATTTAAATAATTGGTTAGGGTTTTGATAATTGGCAGAAAATCTAGCAAAATATTTTAAAAGAATGTTTCAATCTGTAATGACACTGAACAAAGAGAGAAAGAAATAACACATAAAATGCAATTTGGTAAATTTAACTTAGGTTGTAGATGACGAACATGGAGACGATACAGCAATAGTTTGCATTTTTTATCTGGATTCTACTCAATGTGATGAAGAAGAAGATCTATATACAGCATCTCCATCAGATCAAACTGATAGCAATGGAGATACCATTTCCCCATTCAGTATCACTACATACGCTACATTTTCTTCCCAGACTTCAAAGCAAAAGATCACAACAACACCAATAACAACACCAACAGATAACACAGCCCACACAACACCCAGTAGTACATTGGCAGACACCACCCCTCTAGGAACCCCACAAACAACACCAACAGATAAAACAGCCCAAACAACACCCAGTAGTACATTGGCAGACACCACCCCTCTAGGAACCCCACAAACAACACCAACAGATAAAACAGCCCAAACAACACCCAGTAGTACATTGACAGACACCACCCCTCTAACAACCCCACTAACAACACCAACAGATAACACAGCCCACACAACACCTAGTAGTACATTGGCAGACAACACACCTCTAACAACCCCACTAACAACATCAAAAGATAACACAGCCCACACAACACCTAGTAGTACATTGGCAGACACCACCCCTCTAACAACCCCACTAACAATACCAACAGCTAACACAGCCCACACAACACCTAGTAGTACATTGGCAAACACCACCCCTCTAACAACCCCACTAACAACACCAACAGATAACACAGCCCACACAACACCTAGTAGTACATTGGCAGACAACACACCTCTAACAACCCCACTAACAACATCAAAAGATAACACAGCCCACACAACACCTAGTAGTACATTGGCAGACACCACCCCTCTAACAACCCCACTAACAATACCAACAGCTAACACAGCCCACACAACACCTAGTAGTACATTGGCAAACACCACCCCTCTAACAACCCCACTAACAACACCAACAGATAACACAGCCCACACAACACCTAGTAGTACATTGGCAGACAACACACCTCTAACAACCCCACTAACAACAACAACAGATAACACAGCCCACACAACACCAAGTAGTACATTGGCAGACACCACCCCTCTAACAACCCAACTTACAACACCAACAGATAACACAGCCCACACAACACCTAGTTGTACATTGGCAGACACCACCCCTCTAACAACCCCACTAACAACACCAACAGATAACACAGCCCACACAACACCTAGTAGTACATTAGCAGACACCACCACTCTAACAACCCAATTAACAACACCAACAGATAACACAGCCCACACAACACCTAGGAGTACATTGGCAGACACCACCCCTCTAACAACCCCACTAACAACACCAACAGATAACACAGCCCACACAATACCTAGTAGTACATTGGCAGACACCACCCCTCTAACAACCCCACTAACAACACCAACAGATAACACAGCCCACACAACACCTAGTAGTACATTGGCAGACACCACCCCTCTAACAACCCAACCAACAACACCAACATATAACACAGCCCACACAACACCTAGTAGTACATTGGCAGACACCACCCCTCAAACAACCCAACTAACAACACCAACAGATAACACAGCCCACACAACACCTAGTAGTACATTGGCAGACAACACACCTCTAACAACCCAACTAACAACACCAACAGATAACACAGCCCACACAACACCTAGTAGTACATTGGCAGACACCACCCCTCTAACAACCCAACTAACAACACCAACAGATAACACAGCCCACACAACACCTAGTAGTACATTGGCAGACACCACCACTCTAAGAACCCAACTAACAACACCAACAGATAACACAGCCCACACAACACCTAGTAGTACATTGGCAGACAACACACCTCTAACAACCCAACTAACAACACCAACAGATAACACAGCCCACACAACACCTAGTAGTACATTGTCAGACACCACCCCTCTAACAACCCAACTAACAACACCAACAGATAACACAGCCCACACAACACCCAGTAGTACATTGGCAGACACCACCACTCTCGGAACCCCACAAACAACACCAACAGATAACACAGCCCACACAACACCCAGTAGTACATTGGCAGACACCACCTCTTTAACAACCCCAATAACAACACCAACAGATAACACAGCCCACACAACACCTAGTAGTACATTGGCAGACACCACCCCTCTAGGAACCCCACAAACAACACCAACAGATAACACAGCCCACACAACACCTAGTAGTACATTGGCAGACACCACCCCTCTAACAACCCAACTTACAACACCAACAGATAACACAGCCCACACAACACCCAGTAGTACATTGGTAGACACCACCCCTCTAACAACCCAACTAACAACACCAACAGATAACACAGCCCACACAACACCTAGGAGTACATTGTCAGACACCACCACTCTAACAACCCCACTAACAACCCCACTAACAACACCAACAGATAACACAGCCCACACAACACCAAGTAGTACATTGGCAGACACCACCCCTCTAACAACCCAACTAACAACACCAACAGATAACACAGCCCACACAACACCCAGTAGTACATTGGCAGACACCACCACTCTAAGAACCCAACTAACAACACCAACAGATAACACAGCCCACACAACACCCAGTAGTACATTGGCAGACACCACCACTCTAGGAACCCCACAAACAACACCAACAGATAACACAGCCCACACAACACCTAGTAGTACATTGGCAGACACCACCCCTCTAACAACCCCACTAACAACACCAAAAGTTAACACAGCCCACACAACACCAAGTAGTACATTGGCAGACACCACCCCTCTAACAACCCAACTAACAACACCAACAGATAACACAGCCCACACAACACCCAGTAGTACATTGGCAGACACCACCACTCTAGGAACCCCACAAACAACACCAACAGATAACACAGCCCACACAACACCTAGTAGTACATTGGCAGACACCACCCCTCTAACAACCCCACTAACAACACCAACAGTTAACACAGCCCACACAACACCAAGTAGTACATTGGCAGACACCACCCCTCTAACAACCCAACTAACAACACCAACAGATAACACAGCCCACACAACACCCAGTAGTACATTGGCATACACCACCATTCTCACAACACCATTTACTACAAAACAAGAGACTTCGACTAAAGGTAAGACCTGATTTTCTTCCTCCTAATTTTGTGTTGTAGATGGAAAATTTCTGTTTTTTTTTTATTTATTTTGTTATGTTATGCGATGAATGAGATATTTTATCCATAATGTGTCGCAAGTTTTAAAATATTTACAAACCCATCAAACACAGCATGCATCTTCAACTGTACTGATCCATGGACTGCGCTGATTTCTGAATTGGTAAGACAATAGGTTATAAATAAAATAATCAATTTAAACACAACGCACTTTCTTCAACTATCCGAGAAATTTGAAACAAACTCTAAGCAAAAAAGGGCAACATTCATTACCTTGATAATAATAGGCAGATTTCTACATTTTTTGTCTTCCCGTTTCATACAATTAGAAATGCATATCAATAAACAGACGTCAAACTACCAAGAAAAACACCATCTGTTCCTCACCAATCAATGTGGATTTTGAAAGTTTTATTTTGGTCAGGGAGCTTTACTAAAAGTGAATAAAACCAGGCTCATTAATACTAACCCAAAACTACTTTGTGGAATGATTTTCATCGATTAAAAAAAAAATGTGTTGATACTTGTTAAAAAACTAATTCCATACAAATTTTACGAAACTACAGATAAAGTATTTAACTCATTTCTATTAAAAATCAAAACGAAAAGTTGTACTACTGTAGCATGATAGTACACATAAACTCTTCTTAAACAGGTATACAAGTAATGGAGTTCTCTAAGGTTCTCACTTAAATCCATTACTTTTTTTTCTGTATTTTATGATCCTCGTTTGCACATGAACGTTGTTCTCTGTGAGATGCTCACTGGCGACACACCCAGACATATCTTTACAAACATCTTACACACAGAGCCAGCTACACAAATGCACAAATCAACTCAGCTGGACAAAAATGAACAAAATACAACTTTACCCCAATAAAACCAACGTGATGGAGAAGGGAAAAAAACAAGTTTTACAACAGGGATGTCAATCTATCTATAGATACATTTAAATAACATTTACTAAAACAAATGTTTCTGTATAAATATTTCTTTTATAAATAAAATTATACAACATTATTTCCAAAGACAGATTTGCAAAGTTAATGTGGTTTTATTATCTGTATATCTTTAGGCGTCTGAGCTGAATGACAGCACAAAAAGTGCAACAGAAAGAGGAGTAGTAATACATTCTGTTGTGCAATCTATTAGCACACACATTAACAAAACTAGAACAATGGATGATATGAGATCTGTGCTAACTATTTTCTCGCTAATAGACAGAGTGTTGGACAAATATGACGTCGAGATAAATGATAAAACTGTTAAGGTATGTAGGTCTACATTATATAATGTGTCTAATTGCCTTTTGGCTAAATGACGTAAATTGTTAATTTGGAGACTTACGAGGCACTTGACTACACAAACAAATGATTATTTATTTCTAAAAAATCAATTTTGAAAGTTACACATTCTCAAGAAAAAAATCTTAAATAATATTTTGTAAGTCTTTAAAATCTACATTCTTGTTTGTTTTAAAGCTATTGGCCAAGTTGACGAACCACCTAGTTTCTGCCGATGGAAATATGTGGGATAAGCTCAGCGGTGATGGCCCTGGAATGTCGTCATTAATGATTAGTGTGGAAAAAATTGTGTCTTCAAGTCTAGCGTCGTTAAATGTAACAAAAGTGGTTCACGAAGAAAGCCAACTTGGTAAGTGATAACAATTATTCTATGATTTGGAAACTCAACGCAATTAATTATTTTCTAACTTCCAAAGTGCTCAATTTATATTAACTTGTTTCTAAAAACTTTCATGAAACTTAAATAAATATAAAATAAGCCTATTCTAGTAATTACTGATGCTATTTAAGTATTTTGATTCAAATTTATTTCAAAACTTTATTTTTATCTATTACACTACTCATTAATTCCTCCATAAATTATTTAAGTCTAGAAAGTAATTTTAGTTTTAAAAAATAAAAGTATTTTTCCTCAGCTATTGCACGCTTCAGAAACTTTGGTGCATTTGAATATGTAACCAATTTAACTTCTGATTATGCTGGAAATAAAATATTTATTCCTTCAGACTATTCAACTGGTTGGTCAATTTCTATATTTTCTTCTATAGTCTAGTGCTTTCTAAAGACACTTGATATTTCTTTTAACTTAAACTCCATTAAACACAATTCATTTATTTGTATGTATATTCAATTAATAGCTAAGTGTTGAGAGTTAAAATAGAGCCATTTCCATATAATGTTGATAACCCAATGTCAAACCTGCTGTCCAGCTATGTTTGCTGACAACTATTGTTTCGCTTAGAACTGTTTCGGCATAATGTTTTATAAGAATCATGGATTCATTTTTGACAGATTAGCTTTTTTTTTTTTGATTTTCAGACTGTACACTGATTGGACTTGTCATTTATAAAAAAATGGGAAGCAAAGTTAAAATAGAACAAGAAAGGCACAACCGGTAATAGAATCTGTCTTTTATGTTTCTATCACTTTAAAAGCAATGAAGCTGACACATAATGTTCCGTTATATTTTTTCATTAATTAAAAATGTACATTTTGACCTATAAATTACAATCTAGTACTATATAAATACATCTACCGTTTCTAGTTTTTTTTAAAATAATTTTTTTGTTTTGCAGAACCCTGGAGCAACCAATTAAAGAATTGGCATCAGACATAATATCGATTGTTTCAAATAGGAGCAGCGTTGATTTGGTTGAAATCACATTTAACCTATTAAATAATGTTGGTTTAAAATTTTAATTTTTAAAAAATATTATATTCAATTAATGGTCTATTGACATAAATGTTCATTGACACATTTAATGTTTGTAAATGTGTATACTTTTACTATTTTCTAATTGCCAATTGCTCAATTTGGCCAACAAAGCTAGTTGTGATTATTGTTTTAGTAATCTACAAATACAAGAAGGAAACAGGATAATAAAACTAATGTTACAAATATTATATTTGGTATTTTGTAACTCTAATGGGTTTCTTTTGGAGTGTCAGTGACAATGTCAGTGACAGTATTATGATTAGTTAAGGTGAGTCCTGGTGTGGTAGCTGAGGGTGTCACCAACTTGTTGGTGTGGTAGCTGAGGGTGTCACCAACTTTTTGGTGAGGTAGCTGAGGGTGTCACCAACTTTTTGGTGTGGTAGCTGAGGGTGTCACCAACTTGTTGGTGTGGTAGCTAAGTGTTAAATGTCTGACTAAAACTCTTGTCTTTGTTATAAATAATTGATTTTATCTTAAATTTGTAACTAAAATCTATGTGGCACTGTTTATACATAATTTCATACAGCAGTTTAAATTTAATCAATCTTAGATTACATCAGAACACCTAGAGTGTGCTTTCCTGGACACCAGTGACAGGTAATATATAGGGGTTTATTATTAGCTAAATACAACATTTCCATTTAGATCTGTATATAAGTGACACAGTTTTCTACACACTAAAATGTAAACAAATGTAAACCGAAATGTTCTAATGATGTTACTAAATCTTTTTAAAAAATAACATTCTGGACAGCCTTTTTATAGTTGGGAAAGTTGAAATTAAATATATTTTCTCGGATTTGGTAGGGGACAACAAATTTAATACATGTAAGAATCATTTGGATAGCCATTGTTTTTATTTATTTTAATCTGAACTGATGTTTTGCTAGTATTTTTTTTCTTAATGTTTTCTTACATTTAAAACTAACTACCAACCCAAAAAATAAATTTGCATTTCTGAATGCTCTTATTAAGTAGTCTATATTCTATATCATTTTTCTGAATTAGTGTGAATAATCCAAATGTTTGGTCAACAAGAGGTTGCTCACTTGTAAAAAGAAACGCTACTCATGTCATTTGCATGTGTGACCATTTGACTACATTTGCAGTACTGATAAGTAGTTATCAGAAGGTTAGCTATTTACTTCCTTCTTATCTAAGATCACATTTCAATTTTAAAATTATCTCCTATATTAGTAATATATAAGTAAATGTAAATATAAGGTTTATACTGCTTAAAAAATTAGAAAAAATGATGCTCATTTTTAAATATGTGAATCATTGACAAGTATGAAACCAGCAGATTATTTTGGTTTGGAGTCTCATGAAAATATTTTAAATTTCAGGAAGAACCATATGAACTGAACGTGTTAATAATCATATTAACACATTTTAAATTTCAGGAAGAACCATATAAACGGAACGTGTTAATAATCATATTAACACATTTTAAATTTCAGGAAGAACCATATGAACTGAACTTTTTAATGATCATATTAACACATTTTAAATTTCAGGAAGAACCATATGAACTGAACTTTTTAATGATCATATTAACACATTTTAAATTTCAGGAAGAACCATATGAACTGAACTTTTTAATGATCATATTAACACATTTTAAATTTCAGGAAGAACCATATGAACTGAACTTTTTAATGATCATATTAACACATTTTAAATTTCAGGAAGAACCATATGAACTGAACTTTTTAATGATCATATTAACACATTTTAAATTTCAGGAAGAACCATATGAACTGAACGTGTTAACACAGGTTGGATGCTCACTCTCTATAGCCAGCCTCACAGTAACGATTGTTGTTAACATAGTATTGTGGGGGTAAGAATGCCTATAAATAGAATCTTTTGAAGCAGAACTATAGTTTTAGTTTATTTTACTGAACATTACACTATTTAAAAAGCTGAGTTTTCCAATCTTAGTAGCTGTCATTGACAAAGCAGTTTGTAACAATTCTTCCAAGGTAATTAGTGATATTACCACAAATATGTACTAGATCTCATATGTTGCAATCTACTAAAAGATAACATTCCAACAAAGGCAAAGCAGTTTGTAACAATTCTTACAAGGTAATTAGTGATATTCTCACAAAAATTTACTACATCTCATATGTTGCAATCTACTAAAAGATAACATTCCAAGAAAATAACATCGGACAACCCATAAAACATGTCAACCTACCCATAAATTACTAAATATGTAGGACATGTTGGTAAAAAACTTTGGGTGATGAGTCTCGTTTTATAAGTATTTTTTGTTGTATTTTTGTTTGTTTTGCTAAATAATGCTACATCTTGAAATACTATTTATTTATATCTTCAAATACTACATTTTTAGAGAAATAAAAGACAGTGCAACAATTCTGCATATCAATAAATGTTCACTGCTTCTTGTGGCATATGTAACATTTGTGGCAGGAGTAGACAAAACAAGTAACACAGTAAGTTTTTGCTAGATTTTATTCAACTTGACTTCTCTGTTTTTTGTCTGATGAGTTATGTCTTATGTCAGTCCTTGGTGAAATCTTGTGATAGAAATTTTAATCACTTTGGATTAGTAGCTACAGAGATAATTCAATGTAAAGTAAACTTTAACATAATGAGATCTTTAAAAAAGAGCAGTTAAAAAAAAATTCTATTAGGTAGGCCTTTTCCTGGTGTTAAAATTTTAGCCAAGAGTTTATCGTATTACACTGCAGCAAAACTTTTTAGTCATTGGATTTTATTATTACTAAAAATTTAAAAGTTTAAAAAATAAAATATGCTTTGTATTTGGAGTAAAAAAAATAGAGTAAAATGATTTACTTTAAATATAATAATGCCAAGTTGTTTAATTAGCTGTAATAAACTAGGGCTTTACAATTCTCTGACCAAATGTAGATGTTAGCATTTGTTTAAATCATAACCTGCTGTTACTTGTCAGCTGTGATGTAATATATATACCACCAATATAACTAACATCTCCACACGTTGAAATGTTATTGATTCAAAGTATATCCCTTGATAGTAACAACCTGGTTTACATCAAAATTTGGTTTTGAATGGCATTCTGTCCCTACACCTTGGTTTTCATCTGGTGTCATGGACAAGGATAGTTAATGATTTTATATGTAATAGGAAGTAATTTAAAATGAATAAAAAATAAGTTAAAATTGTGTGGGTTTTAGGGGGAAAGTAGGACAGTATAAAGAAGTAGAGTTCACCTATATCTGTGACCACAACATATAAAGGGATAGTAAAGTCATTACTGTGCCCAGCAACCTTTACTTTCCCTAACATGAGTTTGGAACCCGGATTCAAACTTGAGACTATCCGGTTACCAGTCTAGCTCTCTACCAGCTGGCCACTTGGGGGAAATGTGGTCAGATATTAGAGTTCTCAACTGATAACCTGAGTTAGTAATGCCCGCTCAAGTCTGTCAGATGTCTTTGAGTCTACCCAGCTCTATTTGGAAAGTAAATAACTGCTGGCCATAGTGCTGACCACACTATCTCTTTAATTGTCAAGGTGGCTGAAACACATGAACTCTACTACACCTGCCACATGGACCAAGAAATTCAAGAGGCTACCTTTTTAACTGGATTTTACTTATATTTTCTGATTTTTTATATATATATCCTCTACAGATAGTCTGTAGACTGGTTGCTGTCATTCTGCAATTTACACTCACAGGAAGCATGTTTTTCATGCTTGCTGAAGCAATAGAGCTCTACAAAAATGTTGTCCTGATTTTTTATACTAGGTCTATTCTTAAATATTTGTTAATAGTTGCTTATGGTAAGTTCTAACAAGTGTTGAATTTTAAATTTATTATAAATATAACCATTTGTTAATTTAAAAATATGCTAATAAAATGTACTAAATGTGCTAATTAAGTTATATAAACCAAACAAATACTTTTTTATATTTTTCAATGTTATTCAGATAATACACATTTTCAAATATTTAAAATGCTTTACTAAAAGAATACTAGTAACAATTTGATCAATTATCAACACTGTTTTTAGGTTTACCGACAGTGATAGTGACAGCATTTGTGGGTGCCACACAGGGCCACGGTTATGGTGATGAGAGAAGGTTTGTGTACCAGTAACTATTGAACATTATTGAACAAAATAATATGTATATACTACATTCACGTTGAAATTCAACTTTGAGTAAGAAAATGTATTTTATTTGGTTATCAAAATCATAAACCATTATTGTGTAGCTTATATTGTCATTTATCTAACATAGATGTTGGGTAAAGGTGGACACATTTCTGTTTTGGGGCTTTAGTGGAATAGTCATTGGTGTCTGTTTGGTAAGTCATTTTTTGTACTCAGTAATTATATGAAGAAAAGATATTTCAAATCATTCTCATTTCATGTATAAGCCTTAACAATGTGATGTTTAAAATCATATTGTTATTGCAAATTAATATTATTTACAATGTTTTCAGAGTTTTAGCATTTGAAACATCGTCTATAAAACTTCAATATTAAATACTAGCTGTATATTTTTGTAAAAGACTAAGAATTTATTCAAAGTAGGAATTTTAGATAATTGATCACTAATGTAATATTTATAATCAAAACCCTCTGCCATTTGAATGCACTCAAATATAAAACCTAGATCAGTTTTATGCTGAATGATGAGAGATGTATTTCAAATTAAGTTAAGGTGTACAAAGGAAAAACACAATGATTTTGAACATATAGTATTTTGAAATTTACAATTTTTTTACATCATGCAGGATTTAACTATAAAAAGTATGGAGCAAGTGAAGTAGAGTTCAATTGTTTCTGTGACCTCGGCATATGAAGAGATAGTGTGTTCGGAACTATGCCCAGCCACCTTTAAATCGTGAATTAGGTATCGATCAGAGCTGGGTGGACTCAGGGACGGTCTACTGACTTGAACCCAGATTCGAACTCGAGACTTACGGGTTAGCAGTCCAGCTCTCTACCGCTAGGCCACTCCGTCCAGCAGGATGTAACTATAGTTAATGCATATACTAAAGACGTTTTTACATATTATAAAGTATAATAATATCATTTTTTACAGGCTAATTTTGTTATACTTGTTAGAGTAATGTACAAAATTCAGACAACCCAAATAATAAGGAGGAAGTCATGTAAAGTAAAAATCATGTAAGATTATTTAAATTGTAACATCTAATTAATACATAGCAGAGAGGAGTTAATCATTTAAAAATGTATTAACACAATAATTATTATTCACATTTTTGAAAACATGAAACAAAAAACACATTGAATAAGTATTAGTTAATTTTTTTTTATTTAGGATATTTGTTAAAATATATCTCAAACATTGAAACAGAAAAATAATGATTCACTTTAAGGAGCTCAAGTATGTCAATTAGAGGATGAAGGCAAGATATCAAGAGTTAAAATATGTATTTGATATAGAAAAAAACCTATTGCTGATTCTAAAGTTATTTAAGAATAGAATTTATGAGAGGTGGATCAAATGTGAACCTTAGAATTTAAACCATGCAGGTATTATGCTGAAGTTTAAGCAAGATTTGTTGTAACATGACAAATACTGATAGATCTACATATTAATTAAAGCATTTTTTAAGTTTTAAAATGCTTTTTAAAAATATCATGAAAAATTTAGTTTGGTAAGATAGATAAGCACACTCTTAATTTATATTATTATTATTGTTCTTTTCAGAACTGCAATAAGGGCTCTAGCTGTTTTAACTCCCCTTCTTGGTGTCGGTTGGATTATTGGTGTTTTTGCTGTGAATGAATACACCATGATTTTTCAATACCTTTTTACAATAATGTGCTCCTTTCAGGTTTGGAGTATTAAAACCAGATTTTTTATTTTTATATTTGTTTATTTTATTTATGTATTGTAAACATTTTAGCTGTGAATGAAGATACAATATTTATTCAATATATATTTACAATCATTTGCTTCTCTAAGTTTAAGATTATTAACACTAGATTTCATTTTTTAATATATGTAAAGTAAATATTTTTAGATATTTTTACTTTTTGTATTAAAGTTTTTTTGGTTTTATGCTACAACTAAGTATATTACAGAAACTTAAATGATTTAATTATGAGTGTATCAAATAGGCTATTTTTTATTGTTAAAGTTTAGGTTTAGTATAGTGTGCAGATGTTTAAAAGTTTCATTTTATTTACAGGGGTTTATGATCTTCTTAACACAGACAGTATTTAATAAAAAGGTGCCTTTTATTTTATGTTGAATGCTAATGAGTTTGTAGATGTAAATTATTATATGTAGGCCTATTGCTTTTAAAAACTTAAATTATTAAAACTTGAAGTTAAACATTTCTCAATATCAATGGTTATCAATTTGTTTTATACAATTAAAAGGTGAGACAAGGACTTAAGAAAAGGTTTGCAAGAGCTACTGCTATGTGCACAAGGGTATGTGGATGTGATTCAATCACACAACAGGACATTGGTTTAACTAGAAGGAGGAAACCTAGGCATGATCTCCTTATGTTGGCGCACAAGGTATATCTCCCCCGGCAAATGACAGCAGAAAGCACTTTGCCACTTGATCAAGAATTCTCCCAACATTTGTCAGTGGCAGATATGACATCAGCTTCCAGAGATGTCCCTCAGAAAATGACAGCAGAAAGCACTTCGCCACTTGATCAAGAATTCCCACAACATTTGTCAGATATCACATCAGATTCCCAAGACATCTATGAACAGAATACATCAGTAGGTATTTCCATATGTAAATGTATACAATATTCAATTTAATCATCCTTGGGACAGCTTGGTTATATGGTAGAGTGCATAGCTGTGAACCTAAACGTTCAGAATTAAGACCCCAGGCTTGAGTCTATTGGACGTCAGCCAAGTTCACCCAGCTTTGATGGGAACAGCACCTGTTAAGATAAGTACAGGCAGCTAGACATAGTGTTGACCACACTATCAATTCAAATGCTAGGTCACAGCAACATTTGAACACTACTTCATCTGCCTCAAAGGCAGGGTGAGGTTGAAAGATGACAATCCACCCCCCAGTTGTGAGGGTGGGGATGAGATGATGAAACCGGGCCTGGTATAGTTTTGTGAAATCACCACACACAAGTCCAATTCAAGATTTAATGTTCTTTATTTTCCACAATCAACTTCCTACTTCTATCTAACTAGTCTATACTATATACTATCTACTAACACTAGCTAACTACAACTCCCATGACCATCCCTAACACACTATCTACCTCTAACTTTTACATCTTTACCCTAACACTACCTATCTCTAACTGCTCTCTCCCGCTAACTATCACCATCTTCCCTCTCCCCACGTTTCAATGGTCAGCTGACCATCCCATGTGATCGGTCAGCTCCTGTATTTCCATTGGTCTGTTTAACTTAGCTATAGTCTTTTTCTACTATCTACTTGACTTCTAACCTAAACTAGCGTCATCACAGGCTGCTAGGTTTGAAAGGGTAACTTAACTGATGCATAATGGTGGATCAAACTATATTAACAGTTTTTTAATAGGCTTTCTGATATGATTTAAGATCTATGTTTTAATGTTTTAATAATTTATTCATGTATTTTATTTTCAGTACTTCATAACAAGATTGTAGACAAGAATGATGACATTTAAAAAAAAAAGACACAGAAAATAAAGCAGACAGTCATTGAACTTATATCAAGATCCTAAGTTTACACAATTGAAGTGCAGAAAGTGGATTTATTGCCTTAATAAACATTTTGTAAAGTTTATAGAGTGGAACACACTTTCTTGACTGGTTAAGAACTACAGACAGAATGCAATAAGCTACACAGACAAAAAGTCAAGTTATTAGATTTATTATACTTCACTGTAAAATGATTTAGTAGTTTTCCAAACCACAACGCAGGCATTTTCTTGGCTTCAGTTTTGTTGTCTAACCTTCAGTATAATCAATTGTTCTGATTCATATTTTTTTTAATACTAGTACCTTGTCTGTCACTACAAGAATACTCAAATTGTATTGGTTCATTTCATTTATTGTCACACTATTTTAATTATTCTTATCTCTCACCCCTACTCACTGTCACAGAACCCCCCCCCCCCCTCTTTAAAATGACATCACACCACAGTTTCCAAGAACCCTCAAAATTTTATATTTTTTTTAAAACATTGATTTCTTTCTAAACTACTTTTAGAGCGTGGTGAACACTGAGTATATCAATCAGCTTCTATTGCAATTTACTAAAATTTAGTCTTTGAAAAATGTGAAATAACTGATAAAATGCAGTTTCTAACAATACTTTTTAAAGTGCAAAACTATGTCATCACACTTTCAGACTCGTCGCTCACCTTTGTCATATACGATTTCAAAATTCTGACGACCCCCACTCCCATCACCCCCTTATTCTAGAACTGTGGCATCATTTATGGATGATCACTTACATCCAAGTCAAATGTTTGTTTGCTTATATATTTAAATATTTAAAAATATATTAATGTAAACATTTAGTAAATAAAAATGAAAAATAAAATTTTAAATACTAAAAGTAAAATATCTTTTAAAAATATTTTTAGGTCATGACTGTACTGTAATATAGGTTGTTAACTTTTTTTTAATTTCATAGACAAAAATATTACTTGAGTGCTTTAAACTATTTTAAATTTTTTTTTATTTACAAAATTTCAAATGCTATAAGGTAGACCTTCTTTAAACATGTTTAGAAATTTTGAGTATGTAAAAATGATTATTTGCTTAAAAATATTTTTGTATATATAAAATGTTAACCTGAATGCCTTCATATATATAGCTTATATCATATTTTTTTCTATGATTAACCTAGATGATATATTGCTTATTTTATTCAATACAGGCTTTTTTAAAGAATAGTAACTTTATATAGAAATTAGGTACTATGGGGATGGAGATTTATGTGAGTGTTGGAGCTAGTCATAGAAAAGAGAAACTTGAAATACCATAGTGTGTTTATTTATTTTATATTTTTTAATAAAACATGCATACAATATTCAAGGGCCATTACCAAGTTAATGAGAATTCTTCCATCATTATTGTTAACATGGATAAAATCTTGTTTTTTTTAGATTTGCCAATCAAGGCAAAAAGAAAAAAAAGAAAAAAAAAACTTAAGCCTGAAAATTATTCAGAAATATAATACTTTTAGAATAAATATTATAGAAGTTGCAGTTTAAAGCTACATAGAGTTTATTTTCATCAAGCCTAAGTTTTAACCTGAAATTTCACTTTGAAAATATACATGGTGATCAGCTGTACAGGAACTAAGTGATTGATATTCTGGAGACCCCACTTTATATTAAAAACTCATAATAGTTTGTACTCAAAACTTTGCTGAAACATTTTAAAATAAATTACAATTTTTTTTTAACAACATGACCTAGTTCAACCAATTTTGTTTTCAATTTCTGTGATATGATAAAGCAGATAAATATAAAAATTAAATTTGTGTAGCTTTTTTTCTCTTAATTTTTGTTTACATCCCTAATATGCTAAAACATTAATTATATCCAATCTTTTGTAAAGTGCAACAAATATAAAAAAATCAGATTTTTATAATCATAATTATTTTAATAACATGTTATATGATTATTAAAATATGTAATGGGCCTTTTGAAAACTTTTAGAGAGTATTCTTAGATATTTTCATTTGTAACATCAATAAATCATTGCTAGAGATAGTCTGAATTGTTTTGTGTAAATTGTTTTTAGTACTCTAAATATGAATTTCATCGTTTAAGCAATTGCTTTTACTTTAGTAACATTTTATTAATTGCCAACAGTAAGCAAAATAACTCTAAGTAATGTTTTCCTTTATGACTTCTAACCTGAAAGGCTCACATTTTGATCTTGTACTCGAGTTGCTGACTGACATTAAATTTTCAAAATCTAAAACAACATTTTTTTATCCTACAGGATATATATAATTTAAAAAAAACTAATATGTTATGAGTAAAATAAAGGTTTTCTCAACTTTCTAAAAATTTAAATGTACAAGATATCAAACAAGAATTAACAACAAATGAATTGCAAAAGGTGACAGGATTTTAAAGTTGTTTTTGTGAGTTCTTTTGATTTAGTTTCTGCATTTCAGTGAATTGTTTTTTTTTAAAACATTTTATGCAGAAGATGCTTTACTTGTTTTTCCAGTAGGAATTCATTTTGTAAGTGGCATTTTTTGAGACATCATTTTCAAAACTTTTTGCTTTTATCAGAATGGTATAAAATATACAATAATAAGAATAAAATCATGTTTGTTAAAAAGAAAATTTACTTTGTATAAAATATGCTTGTAAAATAATATTGTCCTACCTTTTTTATTTCATTCATGCTATTATTACTTTTATGCCTATTTCATAAATATATGATGTAAAACTATTTTGCTGTATAAAAAATTGTGGGCTGAACAAAAGGTATATTTATTACCTACCTTTCTTTCTTGTATAAAAATAGTGTTAAATTTATTTTCAAATTCTTTTGAACCGTTTTATACAATGAAGGTAATTAAAAAATTTTATATTGTAAAAATAAGTCAGAAAACAATGTTTTAGCTGTTTTTAGAAGATTCTTACAGAGAATGTCTTTTAAATATACTTTAGATAATGTGTCTATATCACAGTTACTATTTCTATATTGCTTATAGCCATTGAGATGTTCTTTTTAATTAGTTTTAATATTGCATCTTTACTATTAATTTGGTACAATAATTTTGCAAAATGTATTTTACACCTTATCCTGATCTAAATAAAAACAGTTTATTGGGTACTTTAAAACTGAGTTAACAGTACCTAAAATGTGTTTAAGGGGTAAGGGTGATACCAAACAGCATTATTTAAATGGGCAAAATTTGCATGTATTTTAATATCATGATTAATTTAAAAAACTAGGTAAATAAATCATAAGATTAAATAAATTACTCAGTTAATACTGTTTATGAAGTCACTGCTAGTGAGTTTTGTATGTGTAAATTATTTTTTTGAACCATATACATTTTTCATTAAATATGCATTTATTTTAATGAAATTTTCATGATTGCCAACTGTTTGTTTAAAATAACATTAAATAAATTTGATCATTGGATTTACTTTCTAAAGGATGACATATGTCAAAATTGTAAAATATAATGGTGATAAAATAAAATAATACTAATGGATAGTTTTTTAACTTATGAAAATTTATAAAAAAGATAAGATTCAAAGAAAAAATATTCCTCTTTTAATACAACAGAAGCAATCATATTTGAAAACATTTCAAAATGTAAAAGTCTAAAACAAAAGTATTAAATTTTCACATTGGTCCTCTAAGACAAATAGCTTTTGTTTTGTTGTTTAAAAAAACTCCTCAGTTTTGGTGCGTAATAAATGGGATTAGAAAATATTTTTAAAAATCTACTAGTTTTCTTTTGGAAGTTTTCTGAAAAATATTGCCTGAGAATATTTAGGAAAAAACTAAACATGCATGTTTATATATACAATGATCAAACACAGACTAAATTGATTTTTTAAAAAGTATATGCGATGTTTTAAGTAATTATTATTTAAAATTAATAAAAATTGCTCTATATTTTAAAAAAAATGATCTTTCTAAAAAAAAAAATTATAAATGCATTCTCCAGTAAGATAATGAACAGATCTATCATATTAAATTGTCAAAACCCAAAGTAACAATTTTGATTGTACAGGTCTTTCTAAAATGTAGATGTATAAGATATAGAATAAGAATTTGCAGCATATAAATTGATAATGTAGGTGGCTGTATCAGGATTTCTGTGTAGTTTATTAAAGATTATCAATATTATAGAGTTCTTTGAGTTTATTTACTGCATTACATTGTTCAGTGAAGTTTTTAAAAAATTACACTGACATTTTTCAAATAAGATTTTTCTCTCTTTGTATTATATGTAAAAATCAATATTGTGAGTCTCATTAATTTGGGATATCAATTTCAAGCCTTTCTGTTTATGTGACAATTGTATAAAATATGCTATTCTCAACTAAAAACATGTATGTCCAAAAGAATATTTGATGACTTAGATGCCAAATAATTGGGTTGTGATAATTTAAAAATATTGTAAGAAATATAGTGTCTTTGCTTATTTATTTTATGCATACAATTATTACTTTTAAGCCTACAATGATGTTAAACTAACAGGCTGTATAAAAAATTGTATGCTTAACAGAAAGTATAATTATTTCACAACTTTATTCCAAGCATGAAAATAACAATTTTTCAAAATGTATACATTTTATATTTTATTCATTATATAATTTTTTTAAACATTTTGTTCAATGTAGGTATTTGTAAATTTTTATATTGTTAAAATAAGTCAGAAAAAGTGTTTAATATTATTTATGATAATGTCTTTCAAATTATTATGACCATTGTGTCTTATTTATAAATTATGTCATCTGCCAACCCACTGAAATATAATGGTCTCAGTATGAAATAATACTAATAGACAGGTTTTTTTTACTAACGGTAATCCAGATAAAGAGAAGATTAAAACAAAAATAATCCTGCTTTTTATTTGCAAGAATCAAATTGTTTAAAAAACATTTTAAAATGTATTCAATTTTAAAATAATTAAAACATACACATTTGTTCTTTATGACAAATTGCTTTTGTTTTGTTTAAAAAACACCTCAATTTTTTATGCGTGTAATGTATGGGATCAGATAATATTTTTTTTAAATCTACTAGTTTTCTGTTGGAAGTTTTCTCAAAAATATTGCCAAAAATTTTTCAAAAAAACAAAAGTTAAATACGCCTGTTTTATATATATATATATATATATATATATATATATATATATATATATATATATATATATATATATATATATATATATATATATATATATATATATATATATATATATATATATATATATATATATATATATGTATATATATATATATATATATATATATTTTTTTTTTTTTTTTTTTTTTTTTGCTTTTTATGACAGGTTAAGGAAATTTCAAATTTCTTGGGTTTTAAGTGAACATAATTTAGGTTTCATCCGTACTTG